AAGAAAAGAAAAGAAAAGAAAAGAAAAGAAAAGAAAAGAAAAGAAAAAGGAAAAGAAAATTGGGGCAGCTAGGTGGCTCAGTCAGTTAGGCATACGACTTCAGCTCAGGTCATGATCTTGCAGTTCGTGAGTTTGAACCCCGCATCAGGCTCTGTGCTAACAGCTAGGACCCTAGAGCCTGCTTCGGATTCTGTCTCCCTCTCTCTCTGCCCCTCCCCCACTCATGCTGTCTCTCTCTCAAAAATAATAAACATTTTTTTAAAAAGGTATTTTTTAAAAATTAAAAAAAAAAGGTACACTCACAATCTGGTGTTTAAGTGGTTAGCTTAACTTTTGAAACAGAAGAATCTACCCACTTTGATATATGAAAAGGTCAACGAAGACCCAAACTCTACCCAATTTCAGCCTCCAAATATAATTAAAGTCCATGTGACATGGAAATATAAAAAGCTTAAAGGGGGGATGGGGAGAGAGAGAAGTTTCTAAGCTATATGATGGTTTTGTTTTCCCAGGGTGAAGATTAGAGTGGGATGAGAAAAAGAACAGGAATTAATATAGTATTCAGATCTTGCTAACATACTACTCCAATAAAACCGTCAACTTTTAGTAAGTAGAAGCATAAAGTCCTCTAGAGTTACCAATTTTTTCCTCATTTGCTTCTGTTCCATTAAGACAGTTTAACACTTGGGGTAGAAAGAAGAGATAAGAAATCTAAACAAAAATTATGTTATGAAAATCAGCTGTTTTCCAGGTGTATGAGGTACCTAGAACAAAGTCATGAAGACAGAAAGTAGAACTGGGGTGCTGAGGAAAGGGAGGAATGGGGAATTATTGTTGAATGGGTACAGATGTCAGTTTGATATATTAAACAATTCTGGAGATAGACAGTGATGATGGTTGTACAACAATATAAACGTACTTAACGTCAATGAACTCTACACTTAAAAACGCTTATTTTTTTAAAGTTCCCTTCAAAGAGGCCATATAAAAAAAAAAAAAAAGATGTCCCAACCAACATCCACTCTATTTTAAGCACAAAACCAGATCAAGATTTCCTGTTACATAGTTGTACATAGTTTTCAAAGTTTCATTCATTCATCGGTATACAGACTGAAAGCTTGATCTATAGGCCAATGACTGATATGTAAAAATAATCTGAGTGTATTTTCTCTATTCTCTAATATTTGTAGTTTAGCAATTAATGTCCTTCAAAGATCAGGCCTCCTTTCTGTGGTCAAAACAGCATTGAGCTTAAAATTAGCCAGAGAATCCTATTTTTAATAAAGTAATTTTATGAGTAAGTATTTGAGAAATGACACGGGGGGGGGGGGTCATTTCAACAAGTTTATACTTATTGTAGAAATACCAAGACTTCATGCCTTGCTCTATGACATAAGGTAAATATAGCTGCCGTGACTACATGATAGATTCAGTCTGCACCTCGATTCCTTCTGTAGATCCTTAAAGAGCTGAAAACATTCTCATAAGGCTATGTACCAACTCCTCAATGTGTAAGATCTAAGACTTAGAAATGTGAGATTTTCCCACACCTACTACACAAAGCTCAGTAACCTTCTACATAGTTCATGATCCTATATATAGTTGCTAAATCAAGTGACTAAAAAAGCATCATGCCATGGCTCAAAAGACTATCTTAGTGATATATACCGAATGATATCAAGCACTGGCTCACAAAAAACAACTCTATAATAACTAGGAAACCAACTTGGTTAACATAGGTCACAATAAAAATCTGATATATGTAAGCAGGGAAAAAAGACTATTACAAAAGTAACCTAACCACTGAGCTGGGTTGGGTTAAGCGGTGAAAATACCATATGATGGGCAAATTTCTTTAACACACTATCTGTTGTCTACCCAGACATCACAAAATTCAAATCTAGTAAGACAAGTATTTACTTATCAAATTTCAGTAATCAAAAAATTGCTGATACATTACAACATACTGTGACAACGGCAAAGATTTCTTAAAAGATTTCAATGCACAAATACTACTGGTTACAACGTGAGAGGTGCTTATATGGTTGCATGTTTTGAAAAAGATCAATGCAATCTAACTATCAATGCAACCTTGGAAACAGCTACCCACTCACTTAAACCATAATGATCCTAAACCATTTTAGTATCAGTAGATCTCAACAGTGATGGCAAGCTGATAGGAAATATGTGGCCTAAAGATTATCTGTACTTAACAATGTGACATTAATTTCTGGAAAGTGCACTAAAGTGCGGTTAACTATTCAAGACAAACCTAGATAAAATTGAAAAAAGTTGTAAGTAACATTATAATACTTTGATCCATTACACTTTGACTCACCTAATTTGCTTAGCTCTTAAATCACTATCCAATAAAAATTATATAGACTGACACAATTAAATTTATTCCTAAAAAGGTATAGGTCAATACTCACTAACCAGAACTTCCTATCTAAGCCAGCTCTGTTAAGACCTGGGAAAAGATGATCAATTCTCATTCACAAATAATGACTGCAAGCCGTCATTTAACAGAACTGTTTATACTAATCCTGTAGAAAGTCTAATATTACCGTTGTATTTTAGAAAACTGAATTTCTTCGCACTGTATTTTAGAAAGTCTAATCTCTTCTAAGAGCAAATTAAAATCCAACACATATGTTCATTTGATCCTATCAAGTTATGTGGGAAATAAATGAAAAAAAAATTGAAAAAAATAAAGCCTGTGTAAAAACAATCTCAAATTACTTTAAAAAAAAAAAAAAAAGCCTAGCTAGCAATTACAAATTAATAAAACTAATGAAAACAGGGAGTGAAAAAAAGAAATGACAAAACCAACCCCTCCTCGCTGACCATCTACATGTATGGAACGGATGTGATCTGCCAGATCTGGACTAGAGTTGAAGCAAGCCTGGCACTGGTCCCAACAACAATTATAGGCAATATTTTTGCTTGAAGAAGTAGTGCTTCCTTGTCCATTCATCATTGCTGGAGTTGAACGCCCACTGGAAATTGTGCTGTCTACATCCATTATAGTACTGCTTATGCTACAAAAGAAGAAAAAAGGCTGTGTTATTCCTAGAAATTCACTAACATGAATATGATCTTATACTTAATTAAGATTACTACTTGACATTCTGCTCCATACAAAGCATACTAAACCATATTTTCTATTAGAAAACAACACTGCTTTGAAATCATTTAGTTGGCAATAAAGTGCAAATCAAGGCAAAAAAAAAAAAAAAGAAATGCTGGTACCTCAAAACCAGATATGGGATAATTTAAGTAACTTTTGGCAGACATGAACTCAATACTATAACCTACAGAAAGCAAAGCAAACACACACACACACACACACCCATACATACAGCTCATCAAATTTCAGCCCTTGCATAGTTCTGAGAAGCACAATAAAGTAATAGAGTTATAGTGTCCAGCTATAAGTAATTCAGAACCAAGAGTATGTTTACAATTCTGCAAATCACTTGTTAATCCATAATCATTTCCTCTATTCACTAATCTAAGAATACAACTGCTGTCATATCCTATTTCTCTCCATCTCAAAAAAGTTGGGAAATTGTGCAATATTTTCCCTTCTAAATAAACAAGCAGAAGAGAGAAAACTGGGTGCAATAAAGTTTCTCCAATTTTACCAAAGTCCAAATAAAATGTCTTTTTCTAGACCTCAATTTTTTTTTTTTTGCTGATCTCTATCCACAAAAATAGGACTGAAAAAGCCAATCTTTTTTATTTTTTATTCACTAAAGTATAACATATTAGTGACCCTTTTATTTACTAAGAAAATTACATACTAGTAGAAATAAAAGTAAAAAAAAAAAAAAAAAGAAAGAAATGAAAGCCTTCCTTTCAAAAGCAATTCATTTAAGGGGACGGCTGGCTGGCATAGTCAGTAGAGCATCTGACTCTTGATCTCAGGGTTGTAGGTTCAAGCCCCATGCTGGATGTAGAGATCACTTAAAAATAAAATCTTTTTGGGGCGCCTGGGTGGCTCAGTCGGTTAAGCATCCGATTTCAGCTCAGGTCATGATCTTAAGGTTCAAAAGTTCAAGCCCTGCATCGGGCTCTGTGCTGACACAGCCCAGAGCCTGGAGCCTGCTTCGGATTCTGTGTCTCCCTCTCTCTACCCCTCACTCACTCACACTCTATCTCTCTCTCTCTCACAAATAAACAAAATTTGTAATAAAATAAAAATAAAAATAAAATTTTTAAAAAATTAAAAGCAATTCATTAAAACAATTTTTTTCAGTATCTTCCCAACAGTGACTACAGGAAAGTAGCTTCAACCAGAGGGCTCAACAGTAAGAATGTTTGCACATTAAATCCATCAAAAGCTATTTATATATCTGCTTGCAATCTAAGTACCAATAAATTATGAAAATTATATTAACTTTTAAGGAGTATGCTTCCCAACTCCCAAGTTTTTACTACAGAAAATTTCAAAGACACAGAAAAGTTACATAAATTTGAACTTAATTTACATTTTGGGGACACCTGGCTGGCTCAGTCGGTACAGCCTGCGACTCCTGATCTCAGGGTTGTGAGTTCAAGTGTCATGTTGGGTATAGAGATCACTTAAAATAAATTTTTTTTTTAATTTACATTTTGTCCTACTTGCTATATGTAATTTGTTTTTCTCAATCATCTCCAAGTTGCAAACGTGATACTTCAACCACAATCACTTCAGCACACACCATCTAAAAATAAGAACATTTATCTATAATCACAACTTCATTTGCTTATATGTAAGAGTCAAAATAAAGTTTAACTTATTAAAGTAAAAATGATTTGTGTCTGGGGGTAGCTCAATCAGTTGAGCGTCAGACTCCTGATTTCAGGTAGTGATCCCAGGGTTATGGGCTTGAGCCCCACGTCAGGCTGCAAGCTGAGCATGGAGCCGACTTGAGATTCTCCATCTCCCTCTGCCCTTCTCCTGCTAGGGCTCTCTCTTGAAATAAATAAATACATAAACTTTAAAAAAAAAAAAAGTGTCTAACATCCAATGCACCCATTTAAAAAGAGCTAGCAAAAATGTTTTTTTTTTTTTAATAGGATGCTTCAGACATGAAAAATGTCTGATTCCCCTTTAAAGAATATTCACATGCTTAAATTCATCTGGCTATCTACCAGTCAATGTAAGTTCTAAATTAGAACTTTAAAACTTCATTCTAAACTTTGTAATCTTGGGGCACCTGGATGGTTCAATCCATAGAACATGCAACTCTTTACCTCAGGGTCGTGAGTTTGAGCCCCACGTTGGGTGTAGATATTAAAAAATTTTTCTGTAATCTCTATTAAGTTCTCAAATGCAAATAAGCTTGGTTATCTGAATACTTAGTCATATTTTTTGCAGGAATAAATTGTGACTATGGCGTTTTTTCTATACAGAAATACATTATTTTTATTTGGGCCCTAGGAATTTCAAGTTTCATGAGGCCCTTAACCCATGAAACAATCACCTATTTTCCTAGATTTCATAGATTTTAAAACATTTTAACTGTAATGCTCATACTTTTATAAACCATACTAACTAACACCAAAGGCAAATAAAATATTAATAGTTTTCAGTGGACAACCAACCACACTCAAATTATAAACCATCTTAGGAAAAGAGATTAATCTCAATGATCTATTGCAATGCAATCTCTAAGGTATAGCAAAGTGTAATACACACACACACACACACACACACACACACACACACACAGGGTAGTAATGCTCCAATTTCCATATCCATACCTAGGCCGGGGAGGGAGACAGATATAGACATGGGTGTTCTCTCAAGACAAAACTTTTGTTGTTGTTTTTTGGGTTTTTTTTGTTTTTTTTTTAAGGCAAAACTTCTTTTGAAGGATACACAAAACATCATCCATGTTTTTTTGGAGGGGCAGATGGAGGATCAGAAGGAGAGAAACTTTCACTATAAATACCTTTTTGTATCACTTTTACCCACATACCTGTACTGCTTTTATGGAAAAGTCCAAACTTAGTTGAAAATAAAATTTTCTTTAAATTGGACAAAGAAAGGCCAAGAGACTCATAATAAATCCAACTAGCAATATACAGTCTATCTACATAGTGCTTAATGTACTTTTGTTTATTGATCTTACCACAGAAGGGGAACCTTGTAACTGCAAACATCCATATACACTGAAGATCATGTAATCAGTCTACGTGCAGTATCACTGAAACACAAGCCTTCATGTAGATACAGATCCTCACAAAAAGACAGTATAATGCTGATATTAAGAATATGAACTGTGTCTATCATTGGCAACTGAGCTGCATATGCAGTGGAAGAGGTGGTAAGGGACAGACCTCATGCCCTAGAAGACTCAAGAGACCTTCACACATGTGCAGCATACCACAGAGCCTCCCAAAGCCTAGCAGGGCCAAATGGAGTCCTGCTGCGTAGCCCCTCTTAGGCGCCTGCAAATTCTAGGAGATGTCCAAATCCTAAGCCTCCAGGATCCCTTTTGGCCCTAGATCCATGCTGGAATCTATGGTTTTCTCCACTCCTAAGACAAAAAGGCAACAGTCCTGACGTGGGAGAGCAAAAGAAACAAGTTATAGTCAATTTTTTATTTTGACAGGACACTGAGCTAGATATAGATCCCACAGAAAACAGTGTCCTTCCTCCTGTAACAGTAAGATAACAAGATGATCTGAACTAGAAGAAGATATTCCACCTGATCCTGTAATATTCCTAGGATCCTACATATTAACATTTTTCATTCACTTAGTTCTCCTTCCCAGTGAACACCTACTAATTCTGTAAAATGTGAACAAAAGCAGCCTAGTATAACTGTATTTTTCTTTTGAGATACTGTATTTTTAATAAGCACCTACTTGTTGATGCTACTGCTACAACATTTTGAGTAGCAAGACTAAAAGATCTTTTACTATTACCCAAGTAAGACAGGTCAGACTATCTCATGAAGTGTGTGTCTGATACTGCACAATGATATAAACTAAAGCATACACAAAAACAGACACACACACACACACACACACACACACACACATCCTGTGACAACACATAATCCATAAGTTTAAAAAAAAAAAGAAAATCCCACACGATGTTAGAAATTCACACGCAATATTTAGGGAAGGACAGGAAGGATTTTCAACATAACAACATTTTCTCTCTTTTCCATGGACCCTTTTCCTCTTAAGAAACTACCCGGCACACCAGCCATTTCTACCATAACATCTAGAGTAAACTACATTGCTATTATGAAAATTATTTCCTCTGGGGGCACCTGGGTAGCTCAGTCGGTTAAGCGTCCGACTTCAGCTCAGGTCATGATCTCACGGTTTATGAGTTTGAGCCCCGCATTGGGCTCTGTGCTGATAGCTCAGAGCCTGGAGCCTGTGTCTCCCTCTCTCTCTCTCTCTCTAGGCCCCTCCCCGCCCCTGCTCACACTCTGCTTTCTCTCTCAAAAATAAATAAACATTAAAAAAAAAATTATGTCCTCTGGGAACTCAAGGGCCAACCAACACATGTAAGAATATACCCTTCTTTGGGGCGCCTGGGTGGCGCAGTCGGTTAAGCGTCCGACTTCAGCCAGGTCACGATCTCGCGGTCTGTGAGTTCGAGCCCCACGTCGGGCTCTGGGCTGATGGCTCAGAGCCTGGAGCCTGTTTCCGATTCTGTGTCTCCCTCTCTCTCTGCCCTTCCCCCGTTCATGCTCTGTCTCTCTCTGTCCCAAAAATAAATAAAAAAACGTTGAAAAAAAAATTAAAAAAAAAAAGAATATACCCTTCTTTGAGAACTCAAATTACTGTCAAGCAAAACATTTGTGTGTAGACATAACCATAGCCGTCAGGGTTCCAACTTTGAAAAGCAAAGGGCAGATTACTAATGACAAAACACAGGAATAGAGGAAGCAATACATGGATGTTACATTATCAAGATGGAGGACAAACCCACGGTCTAAATGCAACAGAATAAGAAAAGCTCACTGATATAGTTTCAGATCCCACATTGCAAACACTGTAAAAAAACTATCACCTGTCAAGTTTGGGT